CCCCAAAACCCCAAAACCCCAAAACCCCAGAAAATGCAATTAAAACCACTTTTCGTAATATTAAAATGAAATTAAAACCACTTTTAGTAAATATATATTCATTAATGAAGGGAATCTTTTTCAATGAGAGAGCTAAGATTTTCTGTTCATTTTGGTTGTGATCTATTTAAAAGTTAATCTTTGCTAGAATTTAAATTTTTACTCAAATCAATTTCATTTGCATGTTAATCTTCATTTGTAAACTTATTGTTATAGTCAATGCCATTTTTTGGTACTAAGTTTACCTGGGTATGGCAAAGCTCATCATCATACTCAGTATTTTATTTATCTATGTTTTCTGCTCCATTTTAATTTTAAAAATCCATATCAAAATTCTTTTCTATATCTCTTACTTAGTTTTCCTCCTCATTGTTGCTATGTCTATCTTAATTCTTCTATTCTTCATTTCTTACTTCTAAATTCATTTGTTAGTAATTTTCAATTTGATCGGGTCCTACTACTACTACTACTACTGAATTTTCAGGTAATAATTAGCTCTGAGTATTGTTTAGAATGGAATCAAAATTTCCATTATTTGAAATATTGATCTATGAGCGCTTCATTCTTTAAATTTTTTTTCTTCTAGTTTAGCTTATTTAAGGATTTGGCTCTAAATATTCGCGATGTTTTTCAATTTCTTCCAAATGATTATCTCTTGGATTAGAAGAAATGTAGAGTTTACTTGATTTTATCAAGGAATTTGGAACTAATGAGGCAGGTATTTTTCCAAAATAAGAGTTAAATAAAAGAGTACACTTCCCCTTATTATTTTGATAAGGCTTAAATTTTAGATCATTATCTACATTCTTGTAGTTCTGGTTAGTAGTTTAATCTTTCAAGATAATATAATAGTGATAAAAGCAGAGCTTACCAATGAAAGCAATTATCTAAAAGTTTTGACCAATTTAAAATTTACAATTAGAGCAATGAGGAATATTACTATTGCATACCACCTTTGCTAGAAAACTTTCTCAGCATCCTTAGCTTATTGGGCTTTGTAAACAATCGATATGGAGCAAAATATTAAAACATACAGCACATAAATTTTAAGAAGGGTCAGGAAATGCATAAATGATTTATAATTTCTCTTCCCGACGCAAGTTCCAATCCACTTGCAATGATGGTCAAATTTCAAGACACAATTATCACAAATATTGCAATGAGCTGTGAGTTAAGGTCTGATAATCAGACAAGTTTCACAAAACTTCATCTTATAGACCATATCTTTGTTTGTATTATTAAAGAAAAGTTTTTTTCTCACACATTCATTGTTTATGTATTTCCAATTTATTGGATTTTGAGATTATTGAGATCCTTGTTTTTCTTATATTGAACTTGATACTTAAAATTTCTGTAAGTATTATTGAAAATTGGATTTGCTACATTCGAAGGTATAATTCCTGGATCTGAAAGAGAAGTAAAAAGCATAAGTGTAGAAATCATTGCTTGTAGAATTCCAGCAATCACAATTGGGGCATAGTTATTCCACTGCTCACATAGGTACTATATTAAAGTTAGTCCAAAATATTACTTAGAGTGGAAATGCAATAAATAGGGTAGAAAGGATATTTATAATCATAAAATTTGCAAGTAGAGCACTCGGCTTATTGCTATAAA